CAGCAATATATGGCAAGCCAGGCCTCCAACTGTTTAAAAAGGCAAATGTTACATAAATTTGGATAAAAAGTAATGATGCACGTGCTCGGCTAAGCGACCATTTCGGTAGACGTTGTAAGCCCCTTTTCTTTTCACGTAAATGTAACATGTCATATATCATGGCATACATTTATCAACGCAGATGTATTTATACAGTGTCTATCCTGCACCATCTCACGGGCGCATGTGGCGCAGTGGTTGAAGGCGCACTGCGACACACGCGTGGAATCAAATTCCGCACTCGTGGCCCACCAAGCCCTCCATCCCTCCGTGGTCGGCAGATTGGTACCAGACTCGTCTGCGAGAATAGTAGCACTAGCTAGATACATTGGTAGGCCACCGCGAGTCATTGTAAAGGCCAAATATGCAATCAATCACCTCCAACGATACTTAGTGAAGCCGAATGCATGGCGCATCTCTCAGGGATTGATCAACGCCGAGAGCTTTATCCTTTTTATATTTTCATCTTATTTTAGTTATTATTACATGACCCCATCACATTTATCCCAGCTCGCGAATCTCAGCACTTCTTGCATTCGATTTATTTCACTGTGTCCGCGAAGGTCCTCGAACTTTGAGTGCGCGTTCCAGTGCGGCTTAAGGAGTTTTTGTTTTTGTCACAAATGCCGTTGAATGATTATCGAGTCGATTCCTCGTGGAATCTTGAGATAGCTGTGCTAGAGCGTTCACGCGTTCGTGTACCAGAAAGTGACAACTTATCCCAGAGAAGTATTGTACCAATTTACCGTCCTCCAACGAGATGAGAATCTTTTTGGAACAGAGGGTGATCGAATCAGCGCTTGGATGGGATCAGCCGCTGTGTCGGGTCATTACCGCCGCGGTACATGTTGTCATTTATAAGTTACTGTGTTGTACATATCTTAGTTTCTAGATGATTGAAGCGTTGGCTGCTGCAAATATGCCAGTTTACGGTGTTGAAGTTGCAAACGACTATGCACCAGTTCAAGTGAGTTTCAAAGTAGATAAAACCAGATTGCACTAAGAGAAAAAAGATGCGATAAGTATAAAACCCATTCATATACTTTCTTAGATAAATAAGCTAACATGGAGTTTTTACGAGACTTTTATTCGGCTGGTGTTTTGGCGCTTTCACCTTCGTCAGTCCTTTCATGAAAACCTTGTGTTAGCTCTAGCAGGCAAAAAAATATTGATCAGTCACGCCGTGATTAAAAGACAATCAGATTATAAAATACGAAAAACATAAATATAAAAATATAAAATAGGCAAACCGTAGCTTGTTTTTTGCGCCTTGCCGCTTTTTATTTATTGCTTTCCGATTGAAAATCCCACTAGCAACACAAGAGGAGCTGGTCCGCGTTATGGAAAAGTCGAAGGTGGAGCTGTGACTCAGACAGCACCAGGTGGTATGGGCACAGGTAAGTCCGTTTTTGTAGGTTCTTTAAATCTTCCAGTAAAAATGTATTCGGTTTCTTTTTGTCTCAACAAATAATAGTGAAGGTTAACCACCACCATCACCACGTTTGTCGATCCCGTCGAAATGAGCCGCTGTTCACATCAGATCTGTGTTACACTAACTATTCGCCTTTTTTGCACGTCTAAAAAGAATTTTTTTTTTGCAAATAGTTTTTTTGCAATAGTTTTGCAAATATTTCAGCATCATTGAAATAAAGTATTATATTTCTCTATAAAAACACTTTCCTTTAACTCCGAAGTCGTTTTTTAAGAAAATTAACCACTAGAACTAATCAGAATAATTTAAATCTATTACGAGTACAAGGTTTTAGGTCAACTGCCTTTTGAAAGCTTACAGTACGACGTAGTGCTTTGACGCGGCGATGCGATGCTATTTGTCACTGATTAGATTGTTTCATTTACTCATGCCACAAAAAGATTTCATAATTATGGATCCCACTCGAATCGATGCGACAGCGATAGCACAGTGGTAAAATTTGGCACCGGCCAGGAATTAAAGGCGCTAGTTCGGTCCCCTCCGAAATGCTCTCCTTCAATCCACATGGAGACGCCTTAACTCTGCCATTTTCAGGATTTTAATGAGAATTCACTCGATGAGTATTCTATTACATTTATGAAGAAGACAAAATCCTCAAGCACCAGCTGAAGCAACAAGCGAAGTGTTCGAAGACCATCGCGGTTGATGAATGCGAGGGAAATAAATCGAACACAAGCAATGCTGGAATCCGCACAGTAAATGTGATGATGGATGGATCGTGTAGAGAAAAAAATACAAATCGGCAGCGGATTCCTTCCTTTTTTCACTTTACAATTGAGTGTCACTGCTTCAAATCAGCCTTTGTTCTAGAAGCATTTAGTGCACAGGACTTCGTGTAGTACAAGCGAAAAACTTCGAACTTAAACACCACTAAGTTGGCCTTTTTTCTGAGAAAGATAAACTAGGAAGCAAACTTTTTTGGCTACTATTATTTAACTGATTGAGATCTTGCCAGGATTGTTAATGAAGTGTCGTTTCCAGCTTTGATCCCATTGTTCTTATTCTGTTGAGTTTTGTGCAGTCGATTTTATCGATTTTTGTTAGTTTGTTAAAGAGGACTACCTCTTAGGAACCTAAAAATAGTGAAAGGTTCGTTTTTGAACACAGGTGAAAGTCCGATAGGTTCAATGGAGTGACGTTTTTGAGTTCGCTTCATAACGTCAACAGTGCGTGATGTCCGCCTTAGGACTGGAATAGCTCCAATGCAGATAATTAGTTTCTTTACGGCTCAAAAAAGCTGAGAGCGCAGTCGTATTCGATTTTCGGTGCACTACTCCGAATCGGATACTGGCCTTGTACCTGCTGCACTTCATTTGAATCGTGGTCATAACAGATTATTCTCTACCTCAACAAGATTCTGTGTAGAGTTTGTCCTGTCGATCATCAACTGAGCTTACACTCTTAAGCCAGCTGCCTGTATGTTTGCACAAAACGAAACTTTCATTAGATCGCAGCAACGAATTATGTTTTGTTCTGAAACAAAATGTATTAAAAAGTGTTCATGCTGCATGCTTTTTTCATCAGCACCGAACCACATACCGATTCTAGGATTGAATTATCCCATGTAATTCTTTTTCTAAAAGTTATCGTTGCATGTGATGTTTCTGGCTTTCACTTTTGGGTTTCCTAATTCAAAAATTCGCTTCAGCAAATTTCTATCAATATCGTTAACTCTTTCTTTTGAGCTCGTAAGAATAGCTCGAAGAAGTGGAAATCGTAGAACAGTTTCAGTGAACTTCTCTTTGTTTAAAGCTCTCGATATAGCGGTTTTTTTTAAAATTTTGTTTACGTGTGGGAATTTGGCGACAGGTTATGACATAACTATGTTAACTAGTGAACTTCCAATGATGTGTGATTCAGAGAATCGGACTTTAGACCTTAGTTTTGCCGTTGAATTGGGCAGCACCGTGGTGCATCGTATTTCTCTACCATGAAGGTGCCATCGCTCGTCACAGTTTTTTTGACATTTGGGCATATCGTTACGGTAAGATTGCGCCAAATTCAATTTTCCATTATTTTATTCTTTCGTGTATTCTGGTGTTACAACCATCATGGATGGTGCGGTTCGCGTGTGGGTTCAGTTGCAGCTTAAAGACCTATTGTTTTCGACGATAAACGATGATTCATATGAATACCGATCAAGCATGGTTTTCTCTGGAATCTCTAGATATCTATGATGAGCATTCATAGATTTTTATAACAGTTATTCGCGTGTCGCGAACACCAAGAAGAGTATGAGCTAGTCAACCAAGATTTCCACAGCAGCAAAATATTGTCAGTTGAAAGCTATCCTTGAAAGCTATGGAACTCATATTCTGGTGTGTAGGTATATTCGTATATCTATTGCGAGATCTGAGATACATTTATACGCATTCGCGTATCCCATTTGATTCGTTTTCTCGCATCCATCATCCACGAAACTCTTCGAACACTTTTGCGTGTGGCTGCGGCTACTGCTTGGAGATTCTCCATCCTTGCCACGCCTGCTGATAAACGCTGATCAAGTCGATTTTCACTGGAATGGTGAGATAGTCGTGGCCATCGTCTTCCATGGGCGTAAGGTTGAACCAACCAAAAGAGCCTACTGACTTCTGTTGCGACTAACGCTTTGAAAACAAAACTTAAAAGTTCTATATAAAAAGAAGCATTAGCGCAGCAGAATTTATTACGATTGCCACGAACTTGTGAGTTGCGAAATCACGATGAGGGCTCTACTTCGTCAAAGCGGAAGCCCCTAAATTCACGAGACAGTGAGGAGGATTACCCACACCATATAGTTCAATGTTTCTTACGTGTCCCTCACCACATCACATAGTCTCAGCTTAACTGGGTTCAATGCCGATTTGGACTCCGCAGATCAATCCCGATAACGGGTGATCGCTAATGGCACTGGTAAATAGAAAATTAAGAAAAAAACTAAGAAAAGCTAAGAAACAGGCGAAAGGAAGGACCGCATGGTGTGGTGGTGAACGCGCTACTCCCCGGAAAGGACAATAGTGCGTTCGTTCCCCACCGCAGACACCTGCAGTCCGGAGTTTTGCAAATATCTCAGCATCACTATGGTTGTATCAACAAATTATTAAATATTTAACGAGCGGATAGCACAGTTGTAGTGACGCCCGTCATTACGAGCATGGTCCTAGTTCTATTTCGCTCCGGGCCAATCAAGCCTCTCATCCCTCCGGAACGGCAAATTAGTACCGAGCTTATCTGGGAAAAAATCACTCTCTTAATCCAATTGAGAACGCTCCAGACCGGCTATCTCAGGACTCCAGGGAGAATTGCTGACCATCATTCTACGACATTCAAGATGAAATGGAAATCCTCAAGCAGCAACCAAAGGTAGTTGGAAGTTCTTCGTGGACAATAGATACGAAGAAACGAATTGAATCTGAGAAGTGCCGGGATCCGAACACTAGACGTGAAGACGGGTTATATAAAATAAAAAAATAATTATTTTGGCAATGCTATATTGCGGAAAATTTGCTCCATGCGAACACGAAGGCACCACAACGAGAGCTGAAACAACTGCTGACAATCGACTCGAATCGTCGCCACTGAAGAAGATAAATACGTCGAAATGTCAGCCGAATAAAAGTTGCTCATCAACCTTCTGCAAACTTATTAGCGAAAGAAAACATACATTCACTAAAGTGTCTTTAGAAGGGTAGGGCTACTATCTCCGATCTTCACTGAGCTGAATAAAGCCTTCAATTCATCTAGCAGAACATCATCGAGAACTACTCGGCTACTTAAGGTGTTCAAATTAGGATATAGGGATCCTGAGAACCCGTACAGCTATTTCGCAACAACGATTTTATCAACATAAAGGCAGGGTTTCGAGAAGCGACACCATTATTGCAAAATTTATTATTGGTACACTTATTTGGGCGGATTTAGATGAACTGAAAGTAAACGAGGTTTACAAGAGAATGATTTAGTCTTACTCCTCATTCATATCAACAAGGGATTTTTCTAGCATTATTATTCGACGTTTTAAAACCTTGGTGAAAAAGAAGGAAAGAAAAATTGGAAAACGATCACACTCCATATGGTTTTCGCAGCACTTCAGATTTTCTTATTAATGTAAACGCTAGTTTCAGCATGTTTTTGTTATCATTTTTAAGTGATCTCTTTAAGGCTCACAGTGAATCAGTGAAAGCCTCAACTCAACAGGTAAAAGAGTTGACATTGAACAATGAAGATTTCAAGAAAGTCGTGGATATCCACCTAAACTGGTACTTTTTCTCACTGAAAGCAGTTATGGCACAGATGGCCAAGGAACTTCTTCAAAATGCTGACAATGGTAAGGAGGCTATTCTTTCGGTTACTTTTTTAAACATCGATGGACTGATACTCTGATATCAATGTTTATTTATGTGATTAGGGTTGTCTACCGGACCGAGTTTTAACGCCATAGATATCAGCACAGTATTCACCAAAATATAAGAGGACGAGAATGCTGTCACTGGGTGAAACTAAAGTGGCCGACGTTGACATTATATACATTTTCTAAAGTCTCCAATGTTTTTCAATTTTGAATCCACTGAGACAAAAACGAGATCGAAGCGCTTTGTTCAAACTGAGTTTACAGATCCATGCTAGGTGTTATAAATGGGTTTTCTACCACCGAGTCAAGGAGGGTCATGGTGGTGTAGTGGTGAAGTGCGCTGCTGCCCGGTAAGGACAACAGAGCGTGTTCGTTCCCCACTGCATACACCTGTGGTCCGGAGTTTTGCAAATATCTCAGCATTTCATACGAAATCGTCTCCTTTTTATAAGCCTTTTAAATTTCGAATTTTTATAAAATTCGATAAATTAAATCTTGCTATATGACTTCTATGATGCTGAGATATTTGCAAAACATCGGACCGCATGTATCTTCGATTCCCTACCGCAGACACTGCGGTCCGGAGTTTTGCAAATACCTCAGCATCGTAGAAGTGATATTTCACAACATACCCCCCCCCCCCCCCCCCCATTAAAAAAGTAGACAGTAAATAAAAAGGTTAGGACTGTAAAACTTGTTAACTCCGGCTCACCTTTTCGACTCAACGGCACTTCTTGCCCTAACGTATGCGTCAGAAACCTGGTCGCTGCGTAAGCAGGATGAAAAATCACTCAGCGTTATTGAACGCGCAGTCGAAAGGACGATGCTAGGAGTATCCTGTTTCACACAACTAAGGGAAGGGATCCGAAACTCCGACTTGCGTCAACGATCAAAAATCAAAGATGTCGTTCTGTACGCCACAGTCCAAGATAAGGTGGGCCGGACACGTAATGCGTATGAATGACAACCGATGGACAAGAGCCGTTAGTGACTGGATTCCTCCGGATGTTAAACGTACTGCAGCAAGACCACCGACTGGATGGTCAGGGTTTTCCACGAAGAGCCTAGAAGAAAAATATGGTGCTCGACGACTTCCTGGAACCCATTGGGCTACCTTTGTGCTCGAAGGGAAGGAATGGAGTATTTGCTCGCGCTAGCTCGAGTCACTCTACAATCAGCGGGTGACAAGTGATACATATGATCAACCATAATGAGGTGATGAATCATTAAGAAAAATTGATGCTTGGGAAGCAAACAATACATTATTAGGAAAACAGAGTTCATTGGTTTTCTTTAGTCTCGAACTCTTAAATCTCGCTTTTCGAAAATTTGTCCTAGTATTTGTAAATATGAGGCCGCCGAAACCATTTTAGTACCGAGTAAGTTTGACGCTGAAAGCAGCGTTTGAATTCTCGATGAAAAAATTATGTTCAGAAATATTCCTTAACGCTAAAATTTTTTTTCGCTTACGCTTAGATGTGCAAAATTAGAAGAATCTGGTGCAGGCGTGCTACAGTAAATACGGTATTTAGTGTCTCGTCACCGACTGAAACAGTGCCTGAGGAGAATCGTCAGTCCTAAAGACCTAGAAAATACAGCTACATGTCTAGTCAAGGCTAAAGAAAGGTGAGAGAACTTTTTTTGGTAAAGTAGCAATCACAACGTTGCTGGAATATTTGCAAAACTCTGGACCGCAGGTGTCTATGGTCGGAAACGAACGCGCTATTGTCCTTTCCGAGGAGTAACGTGTTCAACGTTCACCGATTTGGGTTCCCCAGATCAACCCCGCTGACGGGTGATTTCTGTGGCAAAGATCGATAGAAATAGCTGAGAGACAGGCGAAACGAAGAACACGCATGGTGTGGTGGTGAACGCGTTACTCCCCGGAAAGGACAATAGCGCGTTTGTTTCCGACCATAGACACCTGCGGTCCAGAGTTTTGCAAATATCTCAGCAACGTTGTGGTTGCATTTCGCTTAGCAACCTGCCATGAAAATTTTAGAAGACAGAAAACAAAACTTAAAACAAAGCAGCAATCAGTTGCATAAGTAATTCCTTGTGCTTTCACTTTGGTTCCATATCTTCATTAAAAGTAGATTATACTGTTTTGAGCTTTTTTTGTTCTCTAAAAAAAGGTTAGCACTTTAAATTGCTTTGCTGCCCATCATTCAATTTGTAACCATGATTCACCCATATTCATCAACATGCGATAGTTAAAATATTAGTTTAAGCACAGTTTTTGACTGCGCCACCCTTTTAGACATTCTCCGTGCTGACTTTTCTCCTCCTGCCAACGGTTTACCGTCCTTCAACCTCACAACGGTTTACCGCCTCATCGTGGCTGCGACGTGTTCCTGGGTATGGGACTGCGATGTAGAGCGCGTGATTCATTCCCTAGCAGGGTCTCCCAAGCTGAGAAGGAGTTCGGCGTTTCCATCAGGAAGCCTAGCTAAGAGTAATCCAATGCGAAGATCCACCACTGTCCGGATATCAGAGTCGCATGGTTGTAGATCTCTCCTTGATCCACAAGTGCTGCGACTGCTTGTGGTGGTGAAGACCTGGAGCAGACTTTGGCCAGGCTGACCTTTGGATTCCAAGGAACCACAATGGCTTGAGCAACAAATCTCCCAAAATCGAGATTATGCTGGGGCTCGCAGAATCATTGATGACGGACTATTCATGTAATCAAATATTATGTACTGATTTTTCTCATCGTTGATTTGTTTTATACTATCGAACCACTAAAGTTTCCGGAAGCAACGGGAATTTTCCGTGACTCAAATGTACCAAGAGCGGTTTTCTATTAATCTCGTCGTTTATCCCCATATTAATATTCTTTCTTTAACAAACGCGTTGCTGTGGCTTTGCTTTCCTCTCTGGAACGGTCAAACTGATACACAGTCTACTCAGCCATACACTTTCATGACTAAGCAGAAGAAGCTTAATGCCCAACTCAACCCTAACCCTATAGGAGACAACTTTTTTGAAATACTCATCGTTCCCCTCGACCGACTATCTATTATTTTTGGCACTGATCAAATAATTCTCTACATTCTCGTTGAGAAAACTAGTTCATCGTTTTTGTTTTTTGTAAGTCTCGCAGTCATTTAATGGACACCAGCAGCACGAAATCCTACATGGGTGAGGAATGTTGGTGACTTGGACCAAAAAACTAGCCTGAGCTATTAGGGATCGAGGTCATACGTAATTATAAGACATTCGTCCTTGCGAATCATCTCTAGATTTTGGAACTTTTCCAAAACGCTAGCGAGTTTTAGGCGAAAATGTTTCAAACTCTTATGCAATAATAGGTCCATTTTGAAATATCGCTTTCATATTTAGAAAGCGAAAAGAAGAAGGAAAGCCGTTAGTGCAAGAGACATTTTTTAGATCGTTGAGAAGCACCCAGCAGATGGATATTAAAAAAAATGCTTTGAAGAAAAGCCCATTTCCAAGCATTGTCGTTGATACTCTCAGCAGGAAAATAAAGTGGAAGATCTACCGGTGGAAACAGAAACACAGCAAGCGAAGCATACACAGGCTTCCTTTATCAAATGTGCTAAACCCGGTGACCAAGCGACTGCAGGTGGCTGTTGATAAGCGTTTGTTTCCTATGATGCAATGATGGACTAAAATAAGTTTTTTTTCAGGTGATGGAAAGTAAATCCGCGCCATCTTTAATTCAGGCTGCTTCCAAAGGCCTAGTCCGTAGACTGTCACACCTTATCGTCTCATTGTTTGGCAAGCAGCCCAGAAACGATCCACGAAGAATGTGGTCAACGACTTATAATAAAATGCTCGAGCTAGCAGATGTTCTCGAAGAAAACGAGAAGATGCCAGGGGCCCGAGTATACAGCATGCGTGTCTACGACCTCGTCATGAACAAAGTCGAGAGCGCCCAAAAACCTGCTCAGGTCCATAACTACACTTCATGTCGAAGAAAGAGGAATCCACAGTAACCAAAGCACTATAATTTCTAAATTAACCGTTTATAAATACGACTTTGGCGACTTTTCGGGTATCCTTCAATATTCTTAGCATCTTCGCCTTAAACAGTTTCGTATACCTCACTTTTGATTAACCCTTCATTTTCTTTCTGTCTGTATTGCAACCTACTGCCAAGGAGGTCACATCATGCAAAAGTCAGCTGTTAGTTCTATTCCTATACTGCTACCGCTATCGATGATATGGCCGCATCTCGAATGTATTTTCTGGACTAGTTGTTTTTTCGAAGTGCGCCCGAAACATACAAATCAATGAAGACTACTTCAAGAAAACACAATACAATACAACGCTAGCTGACGTTTCGGCAGTATCGCCTTCTTCAGAGCCTGGAACGGTATACTGATATACAATCTACTAGGCCAAACGCTTCAATAACACTTACGCGAAAACTCGTAGAGGCTTTTTGGATCAATGCCAAAAACCCTACAATGAATAGCAGGGACGAATGTCCGGAGGTCATACGCGACCTGATCCCGTACGTTCGCATCGATTTTTGATGTGGGATGGTGCAGTCGTCAACCACATGCGACTATAATCAGCTGTTCTAAACTTCCTCATTGGAAGTCACAAAAAAAGCGGTGGGTTTTTCGAGAAGTTGTTGATCGTGTAGTTACCAAAGAGTCTTTCGTCTTTGTGTAAGTGTCACTGAAGCGTTTGGCCTAGTAGATTGTATATCAGTATACCCTTCCAGGCTCTGAAGCAGGCGATACTGCCGAAACGTCAGCTAGCGTTGTATT